CTTGAAAGTGAAAAAAATTTAGAGTTGAAAGTGAAAAAATTATTGAGTAGAAAGTGAATTTGTTGTTAAAAGTGAAGAGTATGGATTGGTATTTATAGAAAAAAATTCAGTATTTTTTGGGGTTTTTTTAAATTTTTTACGATTTTTTTTTGTAATTTTTTGCCTTGAAAAATTCCAGGCTGTTGGATTGGATGAAAATTCGAAAATCGGAAGGACCAGATCACGCCACGTGGCAGCGGAAAGAAAAATAAATAAATTGCGCCTGCTGACGTCAGCCTGCCTTCGGGCCAGCCCAGGCAAGTGGACCCCACACTGCCCAGGCCAGCACTTGTTGCTTGAAGCTGCTTTTGGGCTTCCCCCCAGCCGAGCCCGAGTGGGCTGCTGGAAATGCTCTAATGGTGCTGGTGTGGGACTATCTGCTTGCATTTCTTGGAACTTGGTTTTTTGGAGAAGTTGGCTGCAGAGGAAGAAGGTGGAGGAAAAAGGGCAGGGCAAAAAACAGAGGAAGCCCATTCCACCATGGAATCAAAAACCATTTTCTTCACCAACTTTTTCTTACATGGAAAAACACTTCCCGTCTTGGGTTTGAACCCATAATTAGGCTCTGTCTTCTTTGTCTTCACCTGATCCACCTCCATTTCTGCTGCTTTCTCTCTTCGGTTCTTTCTCAACACCTAGTTTCTTTCTCTCAGATTTTGGTAACAAGAGAGAGGGCAAAAGGCCCAAAAACGACTCTTAAAACATCCCAAGCCCCAAGCCAAGGGCACCAATATGAAGGCCAATTATGTAATTTCACCAAAACGAGCTTGTTCAGTAAGCTAAGCATTCAAGGTAACAAGTGACACGTGTACTGAGTTGTATTTGTTGCGATAGTACCCACGTTTACGCGCCAAAAGTGGGGTAAGAAAAGCCACTAGACTCAACTCCCTCCTCTTGGTCCTTTTTTCTTGCAAAAGTCCTGCTGCTTTTACAATATTAATTCTTTCAATTTTCAATTAACTTCAGTTTTCTCTTTTTGCACTCTCTCAAAATCATGGGTGTGTAGTCAAATGAATTCTAACTCAGTAAAAAATGACATTGACTTGTAGATTAGTGGTCTCAGGTTCGAATCCTATAACATCATGATAGAGTGTGTGTATGTGATAAACCTCTACAAAATTTGATTTGAACAAGTAAATTAGGAACATGGTTAGCCACAATTAAGCAATTGATTTTGATCACCCACATAAAAGAAGAAAAGAAAAACAGGAAGAAACAAATAATTAAAACTTTAATTCCAACAAGTTGGGAAAAGAAAACATATCTATTATTAGTAGATGGCTTTATTTTATTTTTTAAGTCTATTGCATCAAACTCTGATACATGACCATCTATGGCTATGGCTATGGGGTCATTTGGGTATTTGGACTTTTTCTTTTTTTGGTTCAACAGAGCCAACAGGATCATCACAGATACAAGAAAGAGAAGAGGACACATAATGGACAAAGGAATCAAACATCATCCTTTTCACTGTCCTCCTCTTTGCTGGACTTACAGATGCAATCTCTGGTTTGTTACAACATGTTGTTGTGTTGCCCTTCCCCAAGACCACCTCCTCAATTGCAGTTGGGTTCTTCTTTTTCATTGCCTTCTTCTTAGGCTCTTGCTCTGGCTCTGTGTTGATTGCTGCCATTTCCTCATTTGGATTCCTCTGTTTTACCACTAATATTTGGGCTCTGGTTTGTAAGTGTACAGTAGTGTTTACGTGTTTGATGAGTTGCAAGAACTTGAGGCCTTGAGCTTCTATTTATGAGCAATTGAATTGAGCATGTTTAGGGCACAAAAAAGGGCTACAACTTGCAACTTGCAAGGGCAAATTGTGGACACGTGTATAGCAAGAGAGAGGTGGAGACAAGAAGAAAGAGAAACAATAATTAAAAAAAGAAAAAGAAAGGAAAATACATTTGGGAACGTGTATACGTGTATAGCAAGTACTTTGATATCGCTCAAATAGCATTGCTCTACAATCCTACATGGGATTTAGGGTAGTCTTTTTTTCTTTTGCATTTTTTTAATACAAATTTATAAATAAACTCAATCCTAGACATGTATTTATTAAAAAACCCAAGCACTATTTAAACATAGAAACACACCCAAAATCAACCTCAAAGTCAACTTTTTGGGTGTGTTTATAAATGGGTTTTGAGTGTGTGTAATGATGGGTTTTGGGTGTGTTTATATGTTTAAATAGTGCTTGGGTTTTTTTATAATTTCAACCCTCATTTTGGGTGTTTTAGTGAAACTCACTTTTTTTAATGTAAGAGATAGTCTAAACTATAAAAGGAGTCTAAATTATAAAGGGAGCAAATTTTTTATACACTCTACAAAAGTACTATGAAAATTTAAATTTGAAACTACTGATATGCAGGTCAAAATTTTTTTCCATTTAGTTAGACTCGGTTGACCTCATTGGGGTAGCCTTTGACACAAATAACTTGTACAAATTTTGGCTTGGGTTAAAGTTGAAAAAGGCCATTTCATTTTAAACGGTGGAGAAATGAGATTCTAGGGTGGGAGGGATATATTGGGCTACCAGTGGCATTTGGCAGTTTTGCCTTGACACCTTTACACGATACCGGGTGGGGAGAGAAGCAGAACGATTAGAGGTCGTCAAATGCATCTCACCTCTTAATGGGAGAGGGTTCAGCTTTTGGGGTCGGTCTTTGGGCACTTTTAAAAGTGGCAAGTGGCCAAAGGGTAAACAATCGTCTAATTATGAGTAGAATAAGAGGCAGCAGAACGGCAAACCTTGGGTTAAAAGAATATATAAAAGGCACTTTCTGATTTTGTGTGTATTTTATAATTAAGTAAACTTTTAGTAGTAAAGCAAACCTAAGGTTAAAAGAATTTCGTTCACATTTCAGAGATCAATCTGAACACATCATAATTAAAAATGGGAACACAACTGAAAAATGATACAACAAGAATATGACCCATTACCACGAATTCCCATCGTCGGTAACACCACATTGTTACAAATACAGTTAAATTATAAAACGTGTTCAATTTAGAGTTTTTAAATCAGAATTTAAGTATTGTTTATACACTATCATGATTAATTTGGATGGATCATTCTCTGCTGTTGCCATAACAGATAGAATTTCTTCCATGGAATGACGCTGATAATGTATAAACAATACCCTTCTTGTTTATTTAGTATCACAATGGATTGGAATTGAATAAACAACTCCCTTAGTTGATCTCATTCCTTATTTTTATTTCTTGTTAAATAAACATGCCATAAATTCAGTTGTTTGCACTGTTTTATTTTCCAATAAAAACAAAAACACAGTACCAAGCTCCAACAGCAATCAAAATGAAAGAACTGGGACAACAGAAAGAGAAGAGAAATTGTTGTAAAGCTTTGGCGTCTTCAGGCCAATCTTCTAACTAAAGTGCTTTGTTGCAGTCTTGCATGTGCCTAATAAGAATGAGAATATTCTAATTCCTTGTCTGTAATGAAGGACCCACTTGAACATTTTTTTTTCCATTTCTGATACTATAATTAAGACATTTGGAAGGGTGGGTTATGGTAAATTACATTTCATGCATGAAAAAGAGCTGATAATTACTTGTTTTGCTGTGTTTAATTACTAATAATTAGTGTTGCTTAAATAATTTTCATTAAAATTAAGATGATAAATTAAATTGAACCAAAGCTTTAAGTTTCCTTCTTTTTGTTTTATGCCGTTAGTTCCTTTTGGCATAATAATTTTTTTGAGAGACCTTTTGACATCAGAATTAAGAATCTGATATTGATTAATCATTCTCCTCTCTCTGAAATATGAGGTTTGTGGGGTCTTCAACTGTTTTGGCTATGATCAGCTATGGGGCATGCATGTCATGGGTTTCATTCCTCTTCCATACAAACTCATGATCATCTTGTCATATCAAACTATGTGAACAATAGAGAAATTTTAAGCAAAAAACTCGAGTGCTTCATAATTCATCAAAACTAAGAGCAAAAAGATACACGTCAATAGGTGCATAGTTCAGTGGCTCTTTTTCTTTTTCGCTACCCTTTTGCATAAATGGCCAATAAAAAATTTATGAGGTTCCGAATGAAAGACGATTCAAGTAGTTGAAATTGGCAACCCCCCTTACCTTATTTGTGAACACATGCATGAATGAATTAATCTCTGGAAATTTGATTTGAACACATGAATTAGGAACATGGTTAGCCGTAAATGCTACAAAGTATATCAGTTTTTTTTTTTTTTTTTTTGGGGGTCTGAAGATAGCTTTCATTAAAAGGCCAAAACGCCACAAAGAGAGCAAATACAAAAGATTCGTCCCACAAACAGGACAGACTAACATGAAAGAAAGCAAAGCTGCAAGAAACAGGACACCGACCACGCAAAGAGGCAGAAATACGTCGAGGCTTGCAGGATGCGGACATGAGATTGAAGGTGAGGACTAGGAAGACCGTCACCGTCCTTGTTCAGAATGTGCACCAGTAACCAGGTGATTTTGATCACCCAGATTAAACCCAAAAAAAAAGAAAAGGAGGAGGAAACAAATTGAGGAAATAATTAAAACTTTAATTGCAACAAGTAGGGAAAAGAAAACATATCTATTAGTAGTACATGGCCTTTTTTTTGAAGTATATAGCAGCAAACTCTGATACATGACCATCTATGGCTATGGGGTCATTTGGTTATTTGGACTTTTTCCTTTTTTGGTTCAACAGAACCAACAGGATCATCACAGATACAAGAAAGAGAAGAGGACGCAGATTGGACAATGGAATCAAACATCATCTTTTTCACTGACCTTCTCTTTGCTGGAATTACAGATGCAATCTCTGGTTTTTCACCACATGTTGTTGTGTTGCCCTTCCCCAAGACCACCCCCTCAATTGCAGTTGAGTTCTTCTTTTTCATTGCCTTCTTCTTTGGCTCTTGCTCTGGCTGTGTGTTGATTGCTGCCATTTCCTCACTTGGGTTGCTCTGTTTTACCACCAATGTTTGGGCTCTGGTTTGAAAGTGTATGACAGTGTTTATGTGTTTGATGAGTAGCAAGAACTTGAGGCCTTGGGCTATTTATAAATTATAAGCGAATGAGCATGTTGGGACACAAAAAAGGGTTGCAACTTGCAAGGGAAAATTGTGGGGCAGCTAACTCTTAAAGCAACCACATTTGTGGGTCCCTTAGTTGTGAAATAAAAAATCTTTAAAGGGTTCGTTTCTAAATAGGAAAAAAGAAAAAACGAAAAGGGGTCAAAGTGGTTTTGGTTGCAACATTCTCTGCAACCACAATCATTGGGATAGCCTGGAACCTGTACAGAATTTTGGCTTTGGGTTAAAGTTGAAAAAATGGCCAATTCATTTTAAACGGTGGAGAAATGAGATTCTAGGGTGGGTGGGCTCTATTGGCAGTTCGGCTTTAGGTACCTTTACACTGAGCTTTTATAAAAGGCCTCTCAGCCATTACATTGGGTGGGGATGGAGAGATTACTTGTGTTGTGGGCAAACCCAAGACCAATCCAAGCTTGGGTTTTGTGCATGGAGTGGAAAAGCACAAAGATTAGAGGTGAAATTCACCTCTCACTCAACGGAGAGGGTTTAAAGTTTGGGGTCGGCCTTTTTTGGTACTTTTTAAAGTGGGAAGTGGGAAGTGGGAAATGGGAGGAGAGCAGATTCCTGAGACTAAACAAAACAATCGTCTATTTCTTGAGCTACCGTCTTTCATGGAAGACCCTGAGGCTGATTGCAACTGTGTAACTACCAAATCCCAAAGTCTCAGAAAATGTGGTTCACAAAGTTGATAAGCGAGGTTTCAGTCCACACACACCCAAGAGAGCAAAAAAGAATATCATATCTGTTTTTCAAAAGTTGAGATGCTTTTTTTTAAGTAAAGGAGCTTCCTGCCTACTACCCAGTGGGTGCCTTTGCCCTCTCTCATTGGATCATTGCACAAAAACCAAAGGGAAATTCCGAAATATTTGGTCTTTGAATGTGGTGGAGAAAATTAAATTGTTTTATGGAGAGAGCAGCTCATAATATTCTCTCTCCAAAGAGAATCTTCTCTCTAGAAAAATTGCTAAGGATGCTTATTGCCCAAGAGACCATTAACATCAAGTTGTCATGTTGTGTTGTTTGCTTTCTACATCTCAAGTAACTGTTAAATTGTAAAATTTGTTACCACCGGAAACTGGGAAACTCAAAAAAGAAACAGAAATTCAAAGTGCTTGATAATTCATTAAAACTAAAAGCTGGTGTACACAAATTGATGGATTCTCTGTCCTGTTCAAGCCAATTCCAAATGAAAAACAATTTTTTTTTTATAGAAATGTTAGCAACCTTCTCTTTAACATTCTCTTTTGGACATTCTCCTTTTTTTGCTTGACATGTGTCATTTTCCTTACACTTAAAACAATGTCACTAATATATTATACGAGTTAACTTTTGCTTTTCAAGTTTACCCTTATTAAATATATTCAATTTATCCAAAAAAAATTTCACAATTTTTTTACCATCTTATAATGTCAATTATTTTTTTTTTAAAAGAAAACATCTGCTAGCATTCCCTTTTTTTTTTTTTTTTTTAACAGAAGAGAAAACGAACAGTGTGTATGTGGTTGTGGGGTGATAAATTTACACAGCAGAATAGGGTGCTTCTATCAATTTGTCACCATTAATGCTGCATTTCCAACTTACTATCTGCTTGCATTTCTTGGAATTTTGTACTTTGGTGATGTTGGCATGTAGGGACCAATGCAGTACCTGGGCCCCACTCAACTTTTTTTTTTCTTTTAGGGTTTTTCGCAGCAATGGTCCCTCAACTATACCATATTTGCCTTTGGATCACTGAACTCAATTATTAGTTGCAGAGGTTAGGCCTCATCATTTGGCCCGCGGGCTCATGGGCCGATGGGGGCCCACCCGGCCCATTGGAAAAAAGCCCTGCCCGGCTTGTTATGGGCTTTGAGATGGCCCGACCCGCCTTGGGCCGGGCTAGGCTTGGGCTTGGATGTTTAAAGCCCGGCCCAGCCTATAGGCCCGGCCCGATTAAGCCCAAGAAAGCCCGGCCAGCCCACAAAAGCCCGGCCCGTTAGGCCGGCATACATATATAATTATGTATAAATAAGAGTTTAGGATTATGATTATATCACTTAAATCACATATATAATTTGTTTCATTTTATTTACTTTTATTTACTCATTCCTAGTTTATAATTGGAGGATTAGCACATTAATTTGTGTCAATTATTAATACAACAAATATATATATATATATAAGATGAACAATATATCATATTACTAAATATAATCATATCACGAAGTATAATCGTACCACCGAATATAATCATGTTTTTCTTGAACACATCACCAAACATTTACATATTTATTTATACCATCCTTTAAAAAAAATATCTTTTTGATACTTATTATTTTTTAAAATTATTTCTTAAAACGTATTACGGTCTAATTATGTAATAACCTCAAAAATAATACTTTGTTTTATTATTTTTGTGGAAAATCTTATTAAGTTGTGTGACTTAATTAAGTTTATGATTTTTTTCGAATAAAGTAGGCCCGTTTCGGCCCTGCCTGGCCCAATGGGCTTTCTCAAGCCCGACCTATGGGTCGGGCTGGGGCTTTGAATTTTCTAAAAAAACTCGGCCTAGCCCGGCCTGATATTTTCTCTCTCTTCTTTAAAGCCAGGCCCGGCCCGGCCCATTGACGAGCCCTAGCAGAGGTCACTCAACTGTGTGTTTCGTTGCACCAGTAGTCCTTCCGTCAAACTCTGTTAAATTTTCTGTCCCAAGTGAGGATAAGTTTGGAAATTCATCCACAACCCTCTCTTTCTCTCTCTCTCTCTCTCTCTGAGCGAACTCGAACAACCACTATAACAGCATTTTTCATCATAACTAAATGGTACCGGTAAGGTCCTAAAGAACTGTTGAACCATCCCAACAAAGTCCACCCCGACTTGCCCGATCCTATTACCGATATTGGGAATCACGGAAACCCCATTAATCTCGGAGTTCTCGACCACCAACCCAACAAAGTCTCTATTGCCGAAACTCTGGTTCGGAAACTCTAGATCGAAGAGCTTCAACGTGTTAGGGTTAGGCCAAGCGAATGACGGCGTACTGATGTGAGACTGAATCACACCCGTGAAGCCCTATGCGAGGTGGTCTACTAAGTCCTGGCCATGGCACTGAACCTCCTCCCAAGCTTCGAAGAACCTCTCCACAAACAGTTTAGCAAAAGTTGGAAGCTTTTTATGTTGTTCCTCTGAAACAGTCACAAGTTCTTCATGGCCCAGAGACAGTGAGATTAGGATTTTGATTTGAGCTTCTAATAATGGAAAATCCGAGCTTTCTTTAGTTTTAATAACAATTTCAAGCTTGAAATTTGAGCTTTCGAGCTTAGATTTTTCAATCCTAAATCGTAAAATAAAAATCCCAACCTGTTTCAGATTTGTGGATGTTTATGGTTGATGGTTTATAGTGAGTGATGGGTTGGGGTGGGAGGAAGGATTGGGTGGTGAGTTTGGTACAATGGAGGAGAAGCAATCGAGTTGTCTTTCTCTTTTCCTTTTTCTGCCCAGATTTTGTTACAAGGGAGGAGAAGCAAGGATTGAGTTGCGACAATGGAGGGTTATAGATGAAGGGGAGGGTTGTGGATGAATTTCCAAATTTACCCTCAGTTTTGACAGAAAATTTAACGGAGTTTGATGGAAGGACTACTGGTGCAACGAAACACACAGTTGAGTGACCTCTACAACTAATAATTGAGTTCAGTGACCCAAATGCAAATACGGGTATAGTTGAAGGACCATTGCTGCGAAAAACCATTTCTTTTATATTGTAATATGTATTGTTGTTATTGAATAATCTATATTAATTAATGTGTTTATTTTATCATGTGGGCCAGCAGCCAAATCCTTTCCCCCAAGCTTAAGCCACTTTCCTTTCCTTTTCCCAAAGGTTTATAGCTCTTATTATTATATATTTACCCTTATACAAAAATTGATAAAAACCTAAACCATTTTTCTCATTTCTTGGAGATACACAAGCAGCAAACCTAACCCATTAATAATATCATACAATTAGTGCTACTAAAATAGTTTTCACTAGCAATGGTGCCTGCACGATGCTGCGGATTTTGAAATCGTGTGAAATGTGTATAAAATCGTGAAAATATGCAGGGAAAATGGTATTATTTATATAAACATGGAGATCTAAACATTGGTATTATGCTTAATTTAGCAAGCTTAAGTTACCAAAAAATAAACTAATAACATGTTTTATGTGCTGCTTGTTCTGTGAAAATATTGGGCATATTTTAATAGATCAAGTAGTTATAAAAACATCAAAATATGAGCATCTAAAAGTTGCTCATTGTTCAAAAGAGTTTGGACAGGTGTTTATATATATGGTACTGGGTGGTGGAATGGGATCTAGGTCTTGCTAGCTCTGCTGTAAAGGGGGCTTACGTTCTTTCTCCTCCTCTGTGGAGGTTTTGACTCTGTTGGCATAAATTTGGAAAATAGCAGGTGTTAGTGTATATAAATGGAAAAATTTGAGTGAGGCCAATAACTATTATGACATAATTAAGTTGAAAAATAGAACATGACACACAACAGTCTAGATACATCAAACATTCTATTAATTTGATGGACAAAAGTATAAACTCAATCTATCGAACCAATTGAAAACAAATTTAGAACAATTGTGACAATTATTAAATAGGTATAAGAGAATTAAGCCAAAACACCTGAGCCTGAACAGAATCAAATCAAGGGGTGTTGATTTTGTTGCTATAAATTTGGAAAATGGTATGCGGTAGAGTAGACAAATAAGAAAATTTTGGCGAAGACAATGGCTATTGTTATAGAATTAAGACCAACATAAATTGCACAAACCAAAATTTAAATAACCTATGAACACCTAACGACCTATAAATAGAAATAAGATAACCTAATAACTTAATGAGCAAGTTTGTTACAAAATCAAGATAATCTAATGGAGAAATAAGCTATAGAAGAAGTAATAATCTATAAACAGCTATAGGTTATAAAAGTATAATAAAGGCAGAAATAACAGGCTACATGTTATAGTTTTTGTTCATTACATTTAAAACATCTAATAAGAATTGTGAATCTTACAATGCACACAGTTATCAACCTCACTCAAGCAACTTTGAGTGCCAATTCAAATCCGCCATGAACCAATCCATAAGCTCAAACATAGAACTCAATCATATGGTAAACCATCACACAAAAGGCTTAATTTCAGTCCAAAAGAGCAATTCGAGGATATGGTTCTTACCTAAAATGCTTTGGTGAAGTTGCAAAATCACCTTTGTCCTCATGATCAAACCTTTCAACAGCTAAAAGAAGAATGAAAGGAAATTTTCATTGTAATTCCATGCACATGCAGGGAAGAACAAAAGCACCAAATAGTTCAAAATATCAGCTCTAAATCTTATTTTGTTTAGATGCAAACAAATATTAAGCTCCTAAGGTTGGTGATTTAGTTTGTTAGATCATAGATTTCTTTATTGGTAAGAATGAGCAGCCTGAGACTATGAATTACATATAGTCCCAGCTAGCTTTCATAAAAAATTTAAGAGAAGGTATCACTCCGCCAAAAGAAAAAGTATATACCTTTAATCAACAGTGAGCAATGAAATTATGCCTTTTTTTCCTAAGCAAATCAATTAAAAATAAAATATCAGAAGCAGGATTGGTCTCTAGGCATTTCAATTATCATCACATCTTAAACTTTGGGTTCAGACATGGTGTAAACAGTAATTGAGAACAAAAACAAAGATTTTATTGACACTTAACCAATGTGACATTCCTAGCATACATTAAACCTAGCTATTTTGACACACCAATAGACTTGAAAACCAAACATGAAAAGCAACATTGAGCATTTGGAAAAAGAGGAAATTGCCTTAAGAAGCTCCCAAGTTTGTCAACTGCATGAATCAACACATTACTGGATAATTTACAATTTGATTCAGGGGTTGAAGATGCATTACCGGAAAACCCACTTGAGTTATAAAAAATATATAAACCTCGAAAGAAAAAGAAATAGACCTCGCTGGACATATACTCATATTCTCTGTTTCATCAGTCATTCAAATCTTCCCTTTCAGAAAACCAATTTCAAACAGAGTAAATAAAGTCCAAGAAGTCAGTTCCCTTGAGAATACCTTTACCAGTCAAAATTTCAAAATCTTACAACAATAGGAACCCAATCACAGCTGCCTTCCCATTTATCAAAACAGAACAACACACACATATATACAAAGTTACAAACTTGGACTGAAATAACACGCAAACCAAACTCAAATTCTGATTTACTTCTCAATTTTTGACATGAAACATGAATAAACCAACTTAGAAAACCAAAAGAACGTTAAAACCAACCTTTTTTCACTAAACCTAGAAATCCCTTTGAGCTAAACCCGTGCGATGAAAAGAAGGATGAAGCGCAACTAGAAAGATGGCTGAACCAACGAAGAGCAGATGAGATGAGATGAATTCGCCGGGATTAAATCGAACCGAAGTTGTCATGTTGTGTCGTTTGCTTTGAACATCTAGGTCCAGCATAAGCTTTAATTTTTCTTCTTTTTGATTCATGCTCATTAATTGTCAGCTAGAAAAGGGGAAAAAGAATGAAGAATCTGACATTGATTCATCATTCTCCAGTGTTTCTATCTTTGAATATTGGGTTTGTGGGGTCCCCTTATCCTTTTTGGCTATGAGCCTATGATCAGCTATGGGCTGGGGCATGCATATCATTGGTCTCATTCCTCTTCCAAAACAAACATTAAGAATCTAAGTGGGGGCCTCATATCATGATCATTTTGGGAAATCTAAAGTTACCGTCAAAAGCTCCGAACTTGGAAAATTAGTTACCACCAGAAACTGGGAACTCAAAAAAGCAAGAGGAATTCATTAAAACTAAAAGCTGGTGTACACAAATTGATGGATTCTCAGTCCTGTTCAAGCCAAAAAAAAAAAGAACATCAATCATTCTTTTGTCTTTGAATACTGGGTTTGTAAATTGTGGGGTCTTTTTTGGGATTCATCATTCCTCTTCCAATTCCAAACAAACATGTATGATCATTTTGGGAAATCTAAGTAACTGTTAAAAGCTCCAAACTTGTAAAAATATAGTTGGTTGGCACCAGAAACTGGGAAATTCAAAGTGCTTGATGATTCATTGAATTTGAAACTAAAAGCTACAGCAGACAAATTGATGGATCATCAATCCTGATGAAGCAAATTCCAAATCAACCAAAAAAAAGGAAAGAAAAGAAAACAGAAACTGTGAATGTTGGTGTGGGGTGATAAATTGACAGAATAGGATAGGGGAACTTCTATCAATTTATCAACCCACACCCACATATATGGAATAGGAAATCAACTAAAATCTTCAGAGGTGGCATGGATTTGATTGGACTTTTGTCACCCTTTCCAATTCACTGTGGTGCTATCTGCTTGCATTTCTTGGAATTTGCTACTTTGCCCATGGGGGTCATGTTGGGTTGGTTGGCTGAGGCTCCAGAGGGAGGTGGAGGAGGAGGAAGCGCACAGTAGAAAACAGAGGCAACCCATTTCACCATGGATTCAAAAACCATTGTCTTCACCAACTTCCTCTTTGCTGGGAAAACACTACCCTTCTTGGGTTTGAACCAATAATTGGTTGTGATCACTCCCTCACCTGAATTCTGCTGCCTGGCCACCATTTTTCTGCTCTTTTTGCTCTCTCTGTCTCTCTCTGTGTTCCCTCTCTCTGCTCTCTGACAAAAGGCCCAAAGTCTCTCTTTAAGTTGTAGTGGTGTGATTTTGCCACAATTGTCCTATTACTTTCCTTCCTTGGCACATGAGATGAGCTGGGTAACTCCAAATAACCCCATATTTATCCACTTTCTGATTCAAAAGGGTTGTACACATTTGACTAGTCGTTTGCGGCACATATTATAACTATCGATCACTATGGAAACTGCTTGGATGTTTCTCAAAAGTACAAGAATTGTGGACTAGATATGAAATTCCTCCTTCCTACCAGTTTTTCTCCGTTGCAATTTGCAAGGGTTCAATATGCGGGACTGACGCGGGAGGCGTATTAGAGCACTTCCAGCAGTTTGTCTTTTGCCATGGTTAGGGGAGGCTAGGGCAGCTACTATTCAGGTGAATAGTGGCTGCCCTTGCAAAAAACAATGTATGTTTTCAGCAGTTGCCCTTTGCCATGACAAATACTATTCTTTTTTTTTTTCACATATTTTTTTACCTAAACAATTAATTTGGATAATATTTTCGAATTAGATTTTTGGGTTCCTATGTGTCAATCTTTATTATAAAATTCATATATCATAATCGGAATAAAATTTCAGATAAGATTTCGGAAAAATAGAACTTGAAAGTGAAAAAAATATTAAATAGAAAGTGAATAATAGTTGAAAGAGACGAAAATGTATGAGGATTTGGTGTTAAAAGTGAAGAGTATTGGTTGGTATTTATAGAAAAAAAATCATTAATTTTGAGGTTTTTTTTATAAAAAAAATTTATATATTTTTTCATTATTTTATTGCACAAAAATTCGCTGCCGTTGGATTAGAGGAAAAAATCCGCTCTGAAGAAGACGCCACGTTGACATAATCCAAAACTTGGGCTTCAAGTCGGGCCAGCCTAGTTTGCTGGGGTCTACCTGTTGCTTGGACAAGCCTTTGTTGCTGGAATCGCTTTTTTGGCACAACCCCCCCCCAGCCCTCGCCCCAGCCTTGCTGCTGGAATTGCTCTTAGACGTTGAATTCAAGGAACAAGTGTTAAATGTGTCCTTTAGTCGATTTAATGGCTGATAACAAAGTCCCACACAGTCCAGCATCGGGCCTCCAACAGTAGAGAAATTCCAAACGAATTTGGGGAACATTTTTTTGCAATTTACTGCGATTTGAAAAGTTTGACTAGTCACTCGTGGTTTACGGGGTATGAAAACCAACATTCGTGCACATCTCTATTAGTATAAAGCCAAGCAAAAAGCAGTTACTATCGTGAAATTGGCCTGTAAAATTCATGTAGGTAATGAAAGACGATTCAAGTAATTCATCCATTTGATCACAAGTAAAGTTAGGAGATACCAATTTGGTCACAAGACCGGGATACACGCGGGAATTCCAGCACGTCATTCTCCAGTGTTTCTATCTTTGAATATTGGGTTTGTGGGGTCTTAGCCCTTTTGGCTATGAGCCTATGATCAGCTATGGGCTGGGGCATGCATATCAAGAATCTAAGTGGGGGCCTCATGACATGATCATTTTACTTGGAAAATTAGTTACTACCAGAAACTGGGAAACTCAAAAAAACCAGAGGAATTCATTAAAACTAAAAGCTGGTGTACACAAATTGATGGATTCTCAGTCCTGTTCAAGCCAACTCCAAATTGTTTTTTTCCCGCCGGGGGGGGTGGTGTGGCTTGAACAGGAAACAGAGGAAGCCCATTCCACCATGGAATCAAAAACCATTTTCTTCACCAACTTTCTCTTCGATGGAAAAACACTTCCCGTCTTGGGTTTGAACCCATAACTAGGCTCTCTCTTCTTTGTCTTCACCTGATCCACCTCCATTTCTGCTGCGTTCTCTCTTCAGTTCTTTCTCAACACCTTGTTTCTTTCTCTCAGATTTTGGTACACAGGGAGAGGGACGCCTCTTAAAACATCCCAAGCCCCAAGCCAAGGGCACCAATATGAAGGCCAATTATGTAATTTCACCAGAACGAGCTTGTTCAGTAAGCTAAGCATTCAAGGTAACAAGTGACACGTGTACTGAGTTGTATTTGTTGCGATAGTACCCACGTTTACGCGCCAAAAGTGGGGTAAGAAAAGCCACTAGACTCAACTCCCTCCTCTTGGTCCTTTTTTCTTGCAAAAGTCCTGCTTCTTTTACAATATTAATTCTTTCAATTTTCAATTAACTTCAGTTTTCTCTTTTTGCACTCTCTCAAAACCATGAGTGTGTAGTCAAACGGATTCTAACTCAATAAAAAATGACATTGACTTGTAGATTAGTGGTCTCAGGTTCGAATCCTATAACATCATGATAGAGTGTGTGTATGTGATAAACCTCTACAAAATTTGATTTGAACAAGTAAATTAGGAACATGGTTAGCCACAATTAAGCAATTGATTTTGATCACCCACATAAAAGAAGAAAAGAAAAACAGGAAGAAACAAATAATTAAAACTTTAATTCCAACAAGTAGGGAAACGAAAACATATCTATTATTAGTAGATGGCTTTATTATTTTTTTTAAAGTATATTGCATCAAACTCTGATACATGACCATCTATGGCTATGGCTATGGGGTCATTTGGGTATTTGGACTTTTTCTTTTTTTGGTTCAACAGAGCCAACAGGATCATCACAGATACAAGAAAGAGAAGAGGACACATAATGGACAAAGGAATCAAACATCATCCTTTTCACTGTCCTCCTCTTTGCTGGACTTACAGATGCAATCTCTGGTTTGTTACAACATGTTGTTGTGTTGCCCTTCCCCA